ATCTAGGGTAGTGGAATTATCGTTTTGCAAGAGAAGCAATGAAGTGCCGTGTGCTGTGACGTAGAAAGCAATGGAGGCGCACTCCTCACAATGCTGCAAGTCTTTGTGGAAATATCCGAGGACTGGTAGGCGGTGCCTCGAAAAGTTTTGTAGTTGAATGAATGTCTGGAGCAGTCTATGCTTAGAAGCGAAATGCATGTCGTAGACCTTTTTCATCATTGCCAATGATGCCTGTATCCACCAGAAGAGACATGTGGACTTGTTCGCCAACGACCGCAGGGATACGAAGGTCCTTCGGGCTATTCGGCGTAAGGTTCATGGACAGGACTGTGGGAGCGCAGGAGTCTGAGTCTTGTATGGGCCTAACCTCCTGTACCGACGCCTACTGTTTACGGCAAATTGCTACGAAGTGGCATTTGATGCGGCAGAATTGGCAGATTTTGTATGGCAGCGAAGCCGAAAGATCGGGCTACATGGTGACTTAAACTGGAACTGTTGGTTGTTATGACAATATCAAGAACTGCTGTAGTAGGTCAATGAGCACTTGCATATTTGAAGCCGACTGCTCAGCTGTCCAGTCAGGCCCACCAAACGGTTGACAATTGTGGGCGATGTCATGAAGTAAGTGTTCAATCACGTCTTCCTTCAAACCAGTCGTCTCCAGCTTATGGTGCAAAAGTTTATGACGTATAAAGGCTATCATGAACCAATGGAGATCTTCCGCAGTGGCTGCATTCCAGTTTACATGCGGCATTGCAGTCGATGGACGGGTGGGCAGGCTCGAAGAAGGCTTAGGGCAGGCAACGGCAGCGATGCAGGCAGCTGGTACAAAGCACAAACTCACTCGAAATGGATGAGTGGCTCTAGTTTTCTTGGCATGGTTCGTCGACAACTGTGCCAAATGTGAGGGCTCGGCGACGTAAACAAGGTGACTATATGGCGAAATCAACTATATTAAACAAGAGTTATGGCATCAATACAGTCGTGGTGCCCGCGCGTGCCTAGGAACAACACAACGAAATCAGCGTCTTCACTAGCTCAACATGTTGCACAAGACTGCCAAATTGCCTGCAGTCTCACAAAAAAATGGGTGTGCCACAATTTGGCACACTGTACAACTTTCTAATACAAAAAGTGTCCTTTAGTCAATCATTAAAGGAAGGTAATGTAACAAGTTTTTGTTAGCCTCATCAGCAACATTTCAAAAGCAGCAATGTATTTTGCCTACACATAGAGTACGTTTACGAAAATGAATGGAGTGTGACTGTCACAAAATAAAATCTGTATATTCTATAAAAACACCCTGTGATTTAATTTTTGGCCAGTCTGGTTGATTCAACAATAATGAATGTTTAGTAAATACCACTGGAATTTTATGTACCCCAGAAATAAAAAGCTTCACTTAAACAGTAACAGCGATGTTTGCACCTACACATCTGCTCCAAAACTTATTTGCATGGCTCCAAAACAGACTTTGTGGCCCTTTAAAGCTGCTACAAAACAGCACTATTCCTGCTCCCTGAGCTGTTTCAAAATGCTGAGATGCACTTCTACCCATAATGAAGGTGCAGCTGAACTTAAAGTAAATGCACAGAATCATGTCTCCTTGCACTTCTCACGTACTCACGGCAAATGGACATGGTAAATACAGTCGAGCTCACATATAATGGCCCCATTTAAGACGAACTTTCGCTTAAAACTAACAATATCCGCGTGACCTTGAAAATATACATTGTTTCAATGACACAAAATCGCACTAACAACAAACTTCTCCGAGCACCGCCGATCGGTTACAACGAACGAATTCAGCGCTCTGCCGACTTCTAGGGAAACCACTTTCGACCAACGATCAGGCATCGGCGAAGTGCCCATAGATTCTTATTGTTAAACGCCGACCCTGCCTCCGCGCCTCTCTAGTTGCCGCTCTCCCCGACCGCTTTTTGTTATCCAATCCTCCGTCCTTTGTCCTCGCGCTACTCTGAACAACCCGCATCGCCAGACACGGCCTGTGTTTTCACACTGCCACGGACCTTTCGGAGACCGGTCAGCCATCTCCCGTGTTTTTAATCACTGGTACTGTCGTTGGTGTCGCCAGCCTGGAGTGACCTGACCATTTGCCAACATCGTCTGTATCCGATGGTCTGCGTCTTATCGTATCGTTCTAGTGCACGTGCGTACGCTACTCCACCCACTCTGATAATTAGGGATTCTTTTCGTGTTTAGGCCCTGTTCTCGCTCACTTTGCACTTGGCTCAACATGCCCTCCACATGCGTGCGGAAGCGTAAAATTAGCTGTTAATTTACGTGGAACGAATCGCGAAATATCAAAGTCGGTGAGGCCATGCAAACTCGCCGGTGCAACAAAACCATTCTTTGATCATGGCCGCTGATTCTTTGAACACCGCCACGCGCCCTGATCCAGGCGGCCGTGCTTACACCTCTGTGCGCGCAGGTCCTCTTTCAAGTTTTTCTACGGGCGAGTAGTGCGTTTCGCGGGCCTTTCAAGCAAGTTACCCGACCTGCCTCTTTCCCGCGTTTTGGTTTTCAAAACCGCCATATCCTCCCCTCTCTTCACTCTATCGCAACTCCTTGCTCGTCTCCACAGTTCCGCGATGCCAGCTACGCTGGCTTGAATTCAGAAGTTTTGTTTTCTGACCGCGCGTTTTGGCATGTGTGTCGCGTGTGCGCGTCTTGCTTGCTCTCAGTGTGCATGTGTGTTCAGGATGGTGGACGGGAGGCCTTGCACGCTTTTTTCTGCCGCTCAACAAAACGCCAAAGTGTGACCGCTTGGCTTGGGCGTAATTTGCGCATTAGGTGCGGCGTTACGGAGCGCTTGCTGATAGCTGTTGACCACCTGGCAGCCAACTTGCTGCTTCGGGCATCCCGTTATTCAGCTGTGGAGATGGTGAATATTTCGTGGATGGCGGTGACGTCTACATGCGTACGAAACTGTTTTCGCGAGGCCGACTTCGTCGACGTTGGGCCCGATGCCGAGCCTGAAGCTTCCAAACAGGACCACTGCGGCGGCGATTTGTGGCAGCGTGTTGTCACCTGCGACATGGAGAGCGGGTGGAAAATCTATTGGGATAGTGTCATTATGGCCGATGATGATGCCGACACTGTGGAACCGTGCATGGATTAGGGCATTGTAAAGGAAGTACACGGCAAGATCGTTTTTGATGCAAGCGGATTGCGAGAACAACTCGTGTCTTTCGTGTCCACTCGGGAAAGATGGTTTTCTTGCTCAGCACTGCACTGAGGGCAATTGTGTGCCCCTTTTCAAGGGCACAGCGACGCTGTACAAGCACAGAGATGAGCGCACCCGAGTCATTGTCGAGGCCGCGCAGATGGCACGCGAACAGGTGCTTTGTATTAGCAAGCCCTCCGTGGCTCTGTCCAAGAAAAAACTCAGGTTCCTCGAAAGTTTCGGTGCGCGCAAGTAGTTATATTAACTTTACTTTTCTGTTTTGTTTCATTTTAGATTTTCCTTTGCCGTTTTCCTGTGCTATTGTTTTTTGTTTTTGTTTTTCTCTTACTCATGTTCTGCTTTTTGTGCCATATGGTTTTTGTCAAATGGTTACTGTGTTCTCTATATATTTTCATGCTCTGCGCAATAAACTCAGTTGGAAGTCAGCGCTCGTGTCTTTCGTGTCCTTCTTGTCTCTGTGTTGTCGTTTTGTTCTCGCGCTATAACTATCGTCAGCTCATGCCACGGGCCTCGGCGAAGAGCATGCTGCTGTTTGAAATAAACTCGAGACTGCCCTTATCGCTTCTACTCTTCGAAACACGTGTATCACGGACATTTCTGGGCAAAAAAGTTTTGAGTTTTCACTCGTAACTTTTTTGAAGCTGTGTTTCATTTAGTATGAACTTCGAAGTACAGCGAACGAATGCCGCGTCAGGATCAGGTTCGTTATAAGCAGGCTGGACTGTACTACACATGTACAGAAAAAAACTGTACCATGTGCTTTTAAGTAGCCAGGATACTTTAAAAAAAACTGCTGTGCCAATAGAAACAACCAATATATATTTTTAAAAATTCACCGAAGGCAGAAAGCTCAGGTTGCATATCATCTCCAAAAACAGGACTTGGCTACACGTCAGTCGTTCTTGAAAACCTGGTTATTTTGGCTTAGTGAAACCACTTAAAATTGTGAGGGGCGCTGAGTATTGATAAGAAAGGTCTATCATTATAAACAAGCAAAAAACCATTCTTCAATATATTTTTGAAAATTTCACTCTACCCTGCGTCCTGAAGGTTGTGTCGGCATATTTCAGCATTCATTCTTTCAGTTTGGCTGAAGGTCTCAGCAACAAAAACTTCATTCAGTATCCCTTCAGAGGGTTAAGGTTGCTTAAAGTTATTAGTAAAGCATATCATTGTATGTCATTGATTCTCCACTGGATTGGCTTTTCGTTGATTCAAAATACTGCTGAGATATTATCGATACTCCACTTGGAATACTCTAAATTTCTTAGTGTGAAAACTAGTGACATATTTTCAGTACCAAAAATAGGTTGCAGTATGTAAACGTTTTATAGTACAGTTTGAGTTTGAGGCGGGCTGATAGGGAGAGTGCCAGGCACATTTTGTTTTCCAAAGCAGGGGTGCCTGGCATAAACCAGTGGGCTCACATGTGCAACTCTGTTGGTGCATTGCTTGGTGGAAGAGAGAGTCATATGATGGCTTTCAAGATTTATGGTTAAGATTGGTCGCTCGCTGCAAGCCATACCTGCTTTAGAAAATAGATTGGGCTTGGCAATCTCACTCTTTGCGTGCTTGGGAACAACAGTGCCCCATTTCACAATTTTACTAGTTTGGACAGTCACTTGAGCTAATGTTTTTCCGCTGGGACTATACTTATCTCCGCTCATGTTGTGTCTAAAAATAAGCTTTTAAGCAGTGTTGTTTGTCATTTAAAATGCATGCCTTTCTGTTTGTAAACCCGGCTTCCACTCATGAAGTGTGTCTCTTTTTATTCCGTTGCAGAGGGCCTCTGGCAACTGCTTGGCCTTGTGGTGCTGTGCAGGGATGGCTCCGTAGAAGGGCTCATTGTGGGTGAAGAACTTCAGGTGCTTTTTCAGAAGGGTGTGTAGAGAAATTTTCATGCTTCCTTGCCTCATCTTGGAAAGTTCGTGCAAAATATTTTTTCTTTTTAATTGTGTGGTTGTGAATGCTGATGTGGGTCCTGCTATTTTGGCATATGAACACTGAACGGTTGGCGATTGTGAATCTAGATCGCAGTGGCACTTTCAGCTCAAAAGCTGCTGTGCAAAAACCTGCACCAAAAGGTGTGCATTCTAAGCTGACGTCATTACATGTTTTGGGCTGCTGTTGGCCCTGCCATCGTATAACATGGCTGAGGCGCAACACGACTTAAACTAGCTCAAGGTCTCTCCACTCCAACTGTAACATCACGGTACTTGCAATCACTACTTGCTCTATGGTTTTGCGAGCTGCCAACATTTTCTCCTATTTATAGTGTTGGGAGTGTGCACAGTGGGCGAATATTTCAACCAAAGCTAGAATTTTGTGTAAGTGCTTACTAAGACTGAATAATTTGGTAAATTTACGACAGCAATTGTTAAAGGAATTGGCTGGCTTTGGGAAAAATTGAGCATTGTTTGGTCATACTTTCAAGTGCACAATTGAAAATCATACCATTCTTACGTACAATCATATACGCATTTTGTTACGTTTAGTCAGTTTTTTTTTGTTGCCTTGACACATATGAAAAGCATGTGAAACAAGTTCTCTTCGTATAAAGTTTAATGTATTGCCGTGAACCTAAATATACAAGCTGCACACCCTAATCAAAATGTCACTACACCACACGCACCTAACTTTTCTTTAATTTGGTTGCTTTGCGCACAGCAACGTTTTTCTGGGCATCATACTGCACTGCATTATTTTTCTCTGTGAAAAAATTGTTCAAGAATGTGTTTGTCGCTGCATTTCACAATTAAGCTTATCACAGTTTCTAATGTGTGCCCCCTGGATTCCTAAGGAATCTCTGAGACATTGCCATTGATCGAAGAACAGTTCTTCATTTTAAGAAGTCCTTCACAAAACTTCCATCTCTAAGCATTTGAACAGCAAGTTTTATGAATATGTGAACAGTAAAAGGCCGAGGTAATTTTAAGCCACCTCGGGAAATGTTTCTCATCATTCACTTGCCTGGACTTCTATGTCTCTACTTTCCAGAATAGGAGTGACATGGCATGATTTGCATGGCAGCATTTTGTAAGGCGGCATGCGCTATTCGTTTCTGCTTGCTTGGATGCTGGAGCAACGCCTCCTTTAATTCATTCAATGCCAGTGCAAACACCTGCTCCTCAACCGGAGCCGTCAGTCCGCCTTAGTTTAGGGAGTGGTCATGATGCGACCCTACATGATGGGTAGCGCTGCTTGTGTCACATGTGCGTCTGAGCAATTTCTCATGGAGATGCAATAGATGTGTTTTTTTTTTTTTCAGACATTAAATTGAATATTTATTTGCCTTGAAAAAAAAACATACAGGAGCAGGTGCAGAGACTAAAGGCTATACAGCCCCTGGCAAAGGGCCTCTGCTCCTAAATACAGTTTGGCACACAGGCCACTGAGCATCTGAACATCTAACAAATATTTTGAATATATTATTGTATAAAAATACAATAAACATTACCATAGTCTTACTATGCTGTGTGAAATAAACACAAAAGAAATTCATCACAAAGCAACATTTCAGCAAACCTGAAAATACAACAGCACAACATTAAAATACAAAATGAGATCCTTGTAGTACATTACAAAATATTAGAAATCAAACATATAGAAAGACAAGATATTAGACAAGATATTAGAAATCAAACAAACTTTAGATAGCATACTCAATATCATGGTGCATCAGCATAGTTTTGATAATGATGTTAGAAGGTGTGTAATTGGGATCTAGAAGACCTTGTAGGCGATTTAACATTGTAGTTATTTGGTATTGAACGTGTTGTTTGCCATAATTTGTCCTAAGTGTTGGGATTTTGTGGCATTACTAAGGAATGTGGTAATTAGTACTTCCAGGTGTGTTCTGAAGACATTGGGGCTTATTTTGTTTGACGCATTTTAAAAGTCTGAAGTAATATGGCTGTGTTACCTTTAACATTTCATATTTTGAAAGAGTGGTTTAGTTTTCAGGTCTCTGATAATGCCGTGGTATCGCTCAAACGCTCATAAGACTCTTTTCTGGAGAACTAGTAATTTTTATAGTTTGTCCGTGTGGTAGTTACGCATACTGAGATAGCGTATGTCATTTTAGAATAGAAAAGTGCATAATATAATTCTATGTGTAGCCATTTTGGCAGAACTGCACCGAGCTTGTATAAGACTCCTACGGTTCTACTAAGTTCTATCGTTAATTTATTTACATGTGTATTGCATGTCAAGCCTTCGGTAAACCATATGCCTAGAAACTTCTGGCTGTTGACCTGCTCTATCTCGCTGCCCTCAAATAAAACAGTCGGACTGTAGCTACGCGGCTTATTAGGCGGGGCACATACTATGTATTTCGTTTTGCTAACGTTTAGTTGCAACTAAAATAACCCTACAGCTGATAGAGGTAATCATTAATCTGGCATTCAAGCGCTAGAATGGATGTACCAATGAAAAATATGTTAATGTCATCTGCATACATTATTAGCTTGGGTGAATGTGGAATATCACACAGGTAATTTATATAAATTATCAATAACAGAGGGCCATGTATCAACCCATGTGGTACTCTTCTTATTATATTTGCGTAAGATGTGCTGTTGTTTATACAAACATATTGATAGCGGTGTGATAAGTACAGTCGAATCTTATTTATTGAACTTCTGGTTAATAGTTTGAACTTCCGGTTAATTCGAACTCATGATGAGGTCCTGTAAAAGCTATGTGTATTCCCATGGGTGAAAACGCCCGGTAATTCGAACCCCCAAGCACTTGCGACAATTAATTAGAACATACCGCGCTCCAAAAATGCTCTCAGCACCCTGCCCGATCCCGTGGCGGCACCTGCGACATTTCAACGCTGCCCGCGAAGGAAATGAGAAGGAAAGGCTGCGGTGGAATGTTTGCTCTCTCTCAAATGCCCATCTGCGACGCACCCGTGTCACGCTTCTCCCTTTCCCGTCTCTGCCACGTAAAGACCCTTCTTCTTCCAACGCTGCGCGCGAAGAGGGACAGGAAAAAAAAAAAAAAAAGAAAGAAAGCTGTCGCTGGGTTGAATGAATGTGTGGTTGAAGGTAAGAAAAAAGTCACCATCGTTCGCAGCCTTTGCCCATTGCGGGAGCACGGCTTGGTGCCTTGAGGGGGGGGGGGGGACTCGCGCACCGGTGCCACGCTTCCCCCTTTTCCGTCCCTGCCACGTAATTCTTTTCCTTTCAACGACGTGCGCGAAGAGAGCAAAGAAAAAGCTGTTGTGGAGTGTTAGTTTTTTTTCAAATGCCGATCTGCTTCTCTCTGCGTGGAGACGCTCCTCCTTTCTCGTCACATGCTGGCCATGCTGGGGCTGCGTAGCGGAGAGGCTCCGTTACGCAGTCCTTGTTGTCGTCGTTTTTAGAAAGTGTCGGCGCTGGACATTTCCTTGGGCAACTTCTCTTGCCAGGAGAATGCTGAAGCCAAAGTAGAAATACTTTGCAAGTTGCGTGCGAAATTGATTGACTTGCTGCAAGGCAAGCGTGTGCAGACGCGCATCACCGATTTCTTCAATTAATATGGATGTCCTGTGATTTATGAATAAATTTAAGTCTTCTGAAACTCCCTCCTCGTGTGTTAGCTCAATGCGCCCTCCGTTTATTTAGCCTTCATTCATTCAAACTTCTTTTAATTCGAACAAATTTTCGGACCCCTTCGAGTTTGAATAATCGAGATTCGACTGTAGTCTTTCAATAATTCAAAAATACACCACATGCACCGTATTTGCTAAGTTTACACGTTAGTACTTTGTCGCATACAGAATCAAATGCCTTCCTAAAATCTATGAAGAAACCGAGTTAGTACAGTTTATGTTCAATATTTTTAATTAGTTCATGTTAAACATTTAGCAAAGCTGCTTAACAAGATTTATTTTTTTGAAAACCATATTGAGCCTCATTGATCACATTATACTTGGTGAAGAACTTATACAAACAGATATTTATTGCATTTTCAAACACTTTCGATAGAACAGGAAGGACGGATATTGGCCTGCAATTAGTTATTTGCCCTTTATTCCCATCGAGAGTATGCCAAAGACAGGGCATACTTTCGCTACTTTTAGGCGGCCTGAAAAAATGCCAGTCTGTAACATTCTGATTATTATATGCACAATGACTGGACCTACAATATCAGCAGCATATTTTAATGGAGTGACATTTATCTCGTCAAAAGCACCTGCTACATTATTCTTAATCTCATTTATCAATTGTATTACTTCATCTGATGTCACTGCAGATAGGGACAGAGAGTTTGTAAGACTGTATTCTTTTAATATAATACGAGAAACTGTATTGCTATTGTTTTTGTATTCGGAACTGGTCACGAAATACTCATTCATCCTATTCGCTGCTTCACTATCAGGTAAGGTGCCTGCATTAGTCTGAAGACAAAGCGGTGGTGGCTGTCTCTCTTGCATTACATTTTTACTTCATTCCACACCTTTCTAGAGTCATTTTTATTTTTATAAACAGCTTTTCACAATATAATTTTTTCGCTCGCTTTAACTTGGTAGTCAGCCTGTTACGGTATTGTTTAAACTCTGACAACACTTCCAAGTTCCTTGTCTGAATAAATGTGTGGTACAATTTATTTTTCGCCTTAATCATTTTAAGTAGTTTTCCGTCAATTCACGGCTTCCTTGCCCGTTTGTGCTTCTGATTTTGCAAGTCATAGAAAACGCTTGATTATAACATGCTTTGAATTACTCAAAGAATACCTCGTATGTTGCATTGGGGTTTCTTTGTTCATCTTGCTAGGAAGTGCAGCCACTATTACAAAGAACACACAACACAAGCGCTTAACTTCAACTAACTTCTTTGTTCAAACACACATTCCCAATCTAATGACTGAGTATGTGTGCGGAAAACTTCCTAGCC